CATTCGGAACAAATGAAATGATTGGCTGGGCGACTGTCACTCTCCCTCGCTAACATGGCTACCACCCCTGCTGCTACAGGAGCTGCCCACTTGCGCGCACTCGGTTGACTCGCTCATTTCGGAAGAGGAGAGGCTTACATCGTGGAAGCTATTACATGCAAAACACCGTATATGTTATGAATCTTACACGAAATTCACCTTCATCACAGTGTAACTGATGGTAACGGGAAAACGTGTATCAATGCAACCTGTTTTTAGCTTTGCCTTATGTTACTAGCTCGTTACCGAATCAAACACAATATATTTTAAACTTTACCAGTATCGATATGCTAGCTTGATAGTGAGTACTAACAGCCATGTTATTTGTTTATATTCATAATGATAAAGTTACGTATTTTGCACTGCGCTCCTCTCCGCTTGGCGCTGGTAAACGCGTCCTCCAGCTCCTATTGAGTTTGATTCGGTAACGAGCTAGTCAACTAGTCAGCTAGAGTGTGCGCATGTGGGCAGCTCCTGTAGCAGCAGGGGTGGTAACCATGGTAGCGAGGGGAGAGTGAAAGTCGCCAAACCAATCATTTCATTCGTTCCGAATGGAATAAGTAGCTGTGTTTATTGCAGCCCTGAGAGGACTACAGACACTCGATTTTTATACTCTCTTTTTCAGAGTACTTACATTTTAAATATGTATTGGTATATAAAGACAGTTTAAACAAATTTGGGAAAAAGTGTTTTAGAAAAAACCTGCCTACCCTGCCTTTAAGTTAGCAACACAAAGGACATTACTCTTAAGGGGTTGGATCCGTTCTCCCTCGCAATGTAATCTCATTGACCTTACTCACACTCCTGTCTGATACCTCACACCTTTGCGACAGAGCTCCTCCCTGAAGTGTGACGGGCATGGAATCCTGCTGCGAGTGTGTGAGTGTGAGAATTTGTGTGTGTGTGTGTGTGAGAGAGAGAGAGAGAGAGAGAGAGAGAGAGAGAGAGAGAGAGAGAGAGAGAGAGAGAGAGAGAGAGAGAGAGAGAGAGAGAGAGAGAGAGAGAGAGAGAGAGAGAGAGAGAGAGAGAGAGAGAGAGAGAGAGAGAGAGAGAGAGAGAGAGAGAGAGAGAGAGAGAGAGAGAGAGAGAGAGAGAGAGCATGTTTCCTGTCTCACTCATCTTCTCCTGGCCTTGTGGAAAGGTAAGATATCTCAGATTAGCCAACTGCCCAAGCAAGCCCTGACGTCATTCTAATCGGGTCACAACAAGTAGTCTCTGCAATGGATTTTTCATTATTGCGTGTATTAGGGCTGCTATTTACCAGTTCTGATAATCCATACTGCCAAACATGGAACACTCTTTGTCAAAACACTGCCAAACAGTCTTTGCTCTAGTAAATATAATACAAGCTTTGCAAATCGATGATCAAATCCAATCAGTTAGAAAGATAAAAGCCTTGGAGTCATAGTTATTATATAGCAGGTAGATACTTCCACTATCTAAATTAACTGAAAGGATTTTTTTACTTTTAAGAAAAGTGTGCAAATAATGGGCCAGTGTGTCTATTCAAAATTATATTTTCTCATAATTTGTAGCAGATTCCTTTTTCAGCATTTCATTCTCATCATACCAAATGGTTACATCAACTGATTGTTGAAAATGGCTAAATGGATTCATATTTGACCCTGTAGTGGCAAGCATTAATAAAAAATTAAAAAAGGCACGTCTGCGCTCGGATTCAGACCAGCTTTGTTATCTGATTCATTGTTTATGCACCTGCTTGACACTCAGCGCTTTTGTTTCTCTACCATTTGACATAATAACAAGGCTTTAATAGTGGCCAAACCATTAAAAATGTCTGAAACATTTCCATTAGCAAGATAACATCAGAGACTAAAGCTGCTGTGAGAATGTAACAGGAAGTCACATTAATTATCTAAACATTGGTCTTTGAAGGGATAATTCACCCAAACATTAACATTGTGTTCATGTTGGTTGAAACCCTTTTTTTTTTTCGTTCCATGAAACACAAAAATAGTTAAGCATACTTTTCTCATCCATGCTTCTATTAAAACAGAAATAAAATTTTAGACTGATTAGAATCCTTAAATTACAGGCCTTTAAAAAAAAAAAATGCTATTTTTAAGTTTTCCATTTGGGTTTTTAAAAGTCCTCAATGAGTTATTTTTAACTGTTGATTCAGGTGATACAGATTTCTATTAGAAATCAGTGCCACAATAGAATGACACAATAGCATGGTATCATTATCTCCCACCTTGAGCAGTATGTGGATTTCTAAGGAACTGCTCTTTAATACGTTTTATTTTTAATTTCCATTTGCCTTCTGGTCCTCTAAACTGTGGGGTCCCTCAAGATTTTTATTAGTCCTATCTGGTTTTCTTTGTAGATACTACCCTTTGGGTCTATTTTTAAAAAGCATGGTGTGTATTTTCATCGTTACAATGATGACACACATATCTATCTGCCATTTAAGAAAAAAAGAACAATGCTTTAGAGCCCTTGCCGAGAACAGTGGTTTCCAATGGTCTTAAGGACACACAGCTCTGCACATTTTGTATATCTCGGTATATCTATCTGATATACTGATTGATACACTCAATTCAGTTCATGGAGCTCTCTCCTAACAAGCTGATGATGTGAATCAGGAGTGTTAAATAAGGAAGGCATGTTTTTGGATGTCTTTAAAATCTCTTAAAGGTGCATAGCGCAGGTTTCTGAGTTTTTGCAGAACTATGCCCCCTCTGGCGACAAGCGAAACTGCAACCAGAGATGTGCACGCTCATGGATCACACGCACACGCACGCTTGCACGAGCTGTTCATAACCAAAAGAGCATCAGCCGCACAAATCTTTTGTTGACAGTCATAATGTCTTCAGAGGTAATAAATTTATAAATCTGCAAGTCATTTTAAATATATGAAAGGAAAGGCATTTGAGTAAATTACACACTTATGTGTGAGGGGAAAACGGGGGTAGTAGAAAAGTTCGGTTTTTGTTTCCATCTATCTCCATGTATGTTGAACTGTTTTATGTGTTTACTGTATCCACTTATGAGTGTATTATTATGGAAACACGTTCATGAACAATATAAGTTATTACTTTGTAAAAGCTCAAAATAATAATCATACCATACACAGTTGGTCAACAAAGTACACTCAAATGTCTCACGGTAATAAACAATCAAATGGCACTATGACGTTACTGTAAAAGCCAAACAGGCTAATCCGCCGAATTCACATTCCCGGGAACAATTTACTATTTTTTACGAAAAAGAAAATATAGCCAATGCAACGGCGTTCTTCCTTGTTGGTCAAGGACATGAGCACCTTATCATGTTAGCAAAGTACACAAGGCTACCGGTAGGTCATACACAAAAACATAGGTAACTTTAGCATCTTTTATGGGATATGTTTTATGTTGTACTATTCTTCCGAAGACAATTAGTTTATGAACCTGTTCACTGACAATGGTAGTAAAACCAAATCTGATTGTACATTTATAGCTTACGCTAAAGCATCACACATTTTACTCATCGTATTTGTTGTCATAGATTTGCCGTATCAGACATTAGAGACTGGGCTATATCTTACCGTTTTATCAAGAAAAAAAGCCAACTGAGGATCCCGTTTGAGACCAAGAGCAGACCGGAGATCTCTCCATTTGTTGAATGCCTTCCCGAGGTTGACTCTCGTCTTACTCCGACGCCTGTCTGACTCCAATTTGGACCTTTTGGTGGCACTAGACAAAATTTTTCTTTTCTTTACTTTACGTGGAGTTTGCGTTGGGGTTTGGAATGGACTACAAGCCGGTCTCTTTGAATCCATCTTCTACCTTTGACGCAGGAGTTGTCTTCGCTGATGCGGAGAATGGTGGCGCCGGCGAATACACAAACCTGCGAGACATAGCCTGGTGAGCGTGAACGCGCATGACGTCACGCCCAGTCTCAAATTCGAGCCCGAATCCCTCTTTATATATTTTACTGTACAGGATTATAGAGGCAATCTCAGTGCGCAGAGAAGGGCTCATTCAGCCCATCAGGCAGTTCTTTAAGGATGTATAGGATAGAAAAACAGGTATTTTTAACATGAAAAGTTGCGCAATGCACCTTTAATGAAAGAAACCAAGATTGTTTGGGGCCACTGATGTCCCTAGTTCTTCAAATCTAGAAAAAGAATTCTACAATGCATCATATGACTTGTGCACTATATACTGTTTTCTAAAACTATATAACGTTGGGTAAGAAAAGTATGCCTATAGCTCATTTGTTGTGTTCACCATGGCCCGGTTTCACAGACAAGGCTTAGATTAAGCCTGGAGTAGGCCATAGTTAAATTAGGACATTTAAGTAGCTTTTATGTGCCTTAGTGTGCATCTTGAGACAAAACAATGGCACTGAACTATTTTAAAATATGTCAGTGCAAGCTTTCAGTTAAAACAGCTCAAATATCAATTTTAGTCTGGGACTAGGCTTAAGCCTTATCCTTGAAACCGGGCACATATGTTTTAAGTATCTTTTCCACAGTTCTGCATGTTCAAACCACTCTCAATACTGTACATGCAAGAATCAGTGAAATCTGTGTGCAGTTTCTCCTCCTCTTTTGCCTTATATGGTGTTGATTACACCGAGCCTTCAAATGTATGCAAACAAAGTTGTTCTTGGATATTGTGAAGATGTTGAAAGAAAGATTTTCGGTGTGTACTGAAAATAAATGTATGAACATTATATTAAACATAAATAGCTGAAATCATAGAGGTTTTGGAATTTTTTTTTTCTACTTTTTTAAAAGTTTTTTAAGTTATTCCTTTAAATGTTTCTTAAACATATATTTCAGTTTATATATATATATAGTATATATATATATATATATATATATATAATTGTCTTTAGATATTTAATTATAAGAGTGATGTCCCATTGAAATTTTATTGAAAGATTACATCACCACTAGCATCAAGTGCCTTGAAGGAATAATCTTTCTCTTAATCTTTCTCTTCTACTAGGTTGGTCCAGCAGGATCTCAGTTCGGTTTGTTAGCCTGTCTTTTTGTGGAGCTGTTCCAGGCCTGGCAGATGTTGGAAAAGCCATGGAAGGCTTTCCTGAAGCTATTAGGCATTGTTCTCTTCCTTTTCTTCTGTGGCCTTCTGCCCTGGATTGACAATATTGCTCACATCTTTGGCTTCCTCGGTGGTCTTCTGCTGTCCTTTACTTTCCTTCCGTATGTCGCGTTTGGCACCTTAGACAAGTACCGCAAACGAGCTCTTATTTTATTGTCGTTGCTTGTCTATGTGGGGTTGGTGTCCTCACTTATTGTCTGGTTCTACATTTACCCCATAAACTGGCATTGGCTAGAGCATCTCACCTGCTTGCCCTTTACCAGCAAGTTTTGTGAACGCTATGACATTGATCATGTGGTACACTAGCTTTGTTCTTTTGTAGACTAAAACTATCTTCAAGGACTGCAAGGGAAAGGAAGCTGAATCCCAATGAAAAAAATAAAATCGAGGAAGACAGCAAATAATGCCATATTAAATTTGGAGTTCAGCACCTTTGTAACCCCTAGAATGCACAGTGTTTTCCCAAAGCAGTTCTGAAAATCTCTGATAGTGTGCAGGTAAACTATGATGTGTTGTTACTGAAGCCTGTATTGTACTCATTTACAAATATCTGACACTAAATGTCCATCCAAAGCTTTATACTCCCTTTTTAAATGTCCTTAAACTTTAAAAAAAATATGCAACTGTTAACTTCACACTAACAATAACTGTATTAAAAAAAAAAACCATTCACATACAGGTTAATTTCCTGTTACTTTGGCTGTTTGTGTTTGCCGAACTGCAGAGCAATTAAATAAACGCCAGAGTAATTTCACTGAACTGGCTATGAATAATAAGGTTTTATGTTGAAATCTCAGTGACATTCAAAATACTATATTCTTCATTTGGTTTTTGTGCCTCTATAGACAACTGAAAATCTCTGTCTAGGCTAGTAATGTAGTTCCACATTTATGAACACACCAGGGGTTTGAATGTTGATAACTCTAGCTTCCTGTATGTGTGTTCCTGGATGCAAGCATGCATTTGAATTGAACAAGGGGAGCTGTTGTTGACAACCAGCTATTAATATTAATTGATGCACTGCATGCATTAAATCATGTGTGCATTCCCTTGGAACAGAATGTATTGTTTTGGTCTTTTGTCTCCATTTATTGTAATTTCAAAGTTAAATTCAGCTGCTGTTCTTTTTGATATTCAGTGCATCATTGTTTACTGAGGGCTGCACTTGAGCCTTAAAAGAAAACAGAAGTGACAATCTTACAATCTGGAATGTGTTTTATGTTGAAGGTATTTGTACACATGATTAGAGGTGGACCAAATAACTATTGCTTCAAATAATAATACAAATAAGTTTGGGAATGTTATTTCCTGTGAAACAAATATGTTTATATTTTTGTCTTTCACAATTTGTGAGAAAAAAAGTGCTTAAATGTGACTAATTCTCTGTGCCTTATTTAATAAATAAAAGCAATGTTAAAACCAGAATCGTCATGCTGTGAAGACTACAGAAATTTACACAATGACTTGGACTAATCTAAAAAGGGAAAAGAGCAAACGTTCTGAAAAATATATTCTTTTATTTATTTTTACTTGCAAAATGTATACAAAATCATAGATGTCTTGATTCAAGACTGTGGAGGCATATGTGGTGGATTTCTACAGGGAAAGGCAATGGAAACCAGTCTTAAACATCTCAAATTGTCCGACACATTTAGGTGATGATTTCTGTTTTGCAACACCTCTGTACATGGTACATTAACTCTTCAATCCTTTGCTTTGAAGTGAGTAAACAAGTAATTCTAATCAATAAATCAAATAGTTCTGGTGCCTAACCAATAGTTTTTCATGTTTATCAGATTGTATATTAAACGTTTGTCACATTGGCACTCACAGAAATACCAGCCAACGCGTATGCTCTCTTGTGGCTTTTTTCATAAGAGATCACAGTGGAAAAGTGTTCAGTTGATGCTATTTTAATGCTTCCATTGAACAGACACACATCTAAAGCAGCCACAAGACACTGAACACAAAAAGTAGCCCAAAGTAGGTTTACAGCTGAATCACTGCCATGTATTTTCAGCCTTGACCTCCGATCTCACAACACAACAGACAAATCTGTCATGAATTTAAAAATGTGCATGAGTAATTAAAAAAAATGTAATCTAGGGAAATGCATACAAAATAAACAATAATATAAACCTATTAGATAACCTGACTTTGAGAGAAAAAAAATATCCAAGTTTGACTTGATGAATTTAAATAATACATTTCAGCCATCACTGTTAGGTAAAAGGGTGGGATGCAGTTTGCAATGTTTCCTTTTTCTATTTTTTATTTTTTTAAATTATATTTCTAACCATTTTTGCTATACTGATCGAGTATTACAAAAGTTGACACAAATAGCACTAGACCAAACCAAAAGCTGCTTCAACACACCCACTGCTTCACTACTTTAGCCTTTTGAAGATCCAAAAAGCTACATGACTAGTGATCCCTTAACAGCCACTGTTACGCCGCATGAATGCATGTCCCCGTATAGGATAATGCATCTCGATGAAGGTAAGTGGCCCTACAGTGATTTCAGAAGGACCCTGCCCTTTAAAGCCAGATTTCTGGTAGAAGGGCACCAGGAAGTCCTCACACATGAGCACGGCACGGCGGACATATGGTAGACAGCGCAGATACTGCAAGTAACGCCACAGCAGGATTGATCCTTTTCCCTGCTGGCGGAAGGTCCGGTGGACTGCCAGCACATGGATGTGGACAGAAGTCCCATGAGGCTTATGAAGGGTCAATGCATCCTATTAAGAGAGACAACTAAAATAAATCATGTGCACCAATTACAAGAAACATAACTATATGTTAAGATTAAATAATAATAATACACACTTTTAAAAATAATTTATTTCTGACCATAATGAATACATGATTTGAAGGTTAGATTACATTGGTAAGGCGGTCCTGGTCCCAGAGTGATCCAATGATAAAAGCAACAAGCCTCCCCTGTTCAAACCAGCCCAAAGAAAGCTCAGGACAGAGGGTGAGGAAGTGCCGGACCTCATCCAGATGAAGAGGACATTCCCCAGACACCGATATAAAAGCTGAGAGATAAAACGAGAAAATAACTGTTAAAAATGTTTTTTATATATATATATATACTCAATAATATAGTAACCAAATGTAGGATATAGTATTTAATTATATCAAAACGCATTTTATAAAATTTAATTTTTAACTCAATACAAACATAATTATTATGGTTATAGCCTATATAAACTAAGCAAAGTAACGAAAAGCACTGTTCCCCAAATTAATGAATAACACACTTTGATGGTTATAATAGGAGTGTTAGTTTTGTCTTACCCTCTCTCTCTATTTCGAACACACTGATAGCGTCCTCAGTGTTGAGCGAGCGGAACTCGCTGGCCGGGAGCGTGTGCCTGCGCTGGCGGCCAGGGGAGATCGGAGCTCTCATGTAGATGGGCTTCAGGAAAGGCAGTGCGCTCACTACTGACATTTCTGTTGCTTTTAAAAATCTCTTTTGCCTTTTAAATAAATAAATAATATTCTAATGCCGTTTACAGGTGTTCGATTTCCAGGAGCTGTGTCAAAAGTGAATTATAGAGGCGTACCAAGAGCATTTATACCAATCCATCTGCTTAAGATCCATTAGTCACCATAAGCCTTAAACCAGCCCCCATTTCACCATTAATCACGTTTACTGAAACCGCGAGAGTGTATTTGATGGTAAATAGGCAGATATTGTTAAACTCGTTGGAGGTGGTTAGAAACATTTCCCCCACCTATTAAACGAAAGTGGCAAACTATATCTGACATCTAAAGTCTGGATTAAAGCAGTACGCCTACCTGTAGAAACAAATCACCTTCACTTGGGCTGATGGATCAGTAGTCTACATTTCCGTGAAACAGCAAAGCTGGTGGATTAGAGTTATTTACAATAAAGACCGGTAATGACTGTACAGAGTTATAGCAAGCAATAGGCTATCACACGAGCAAGTGTGATTCTGACATAGCCTATGGCACATCGGGCCTATATTCAGTAGCCTACAATAGAATCATAACGACTGTGAGTGATAGCCTATAGCCTATAGTAAAATAATTAACCTTAAGTAACTTTTTTACAAAAATGGCCAGCTAGTTATTGAAGCCATGTTTTCTCTGCAAACAAAAATAGTTCAAAGCCACTTTGTATGTTAACATACACGATAAAAGCGGTCTAACAGTGGAGTGGAGCGACAGATTTCCCCTTTAAAATAACTAAATCCAGAATCATCAACGGTAGGGCAAATATACCGGTAGGTTATTTAGGCTTGTTTTTTATTTATTTCTCAAATATGTTAATGTGGTGAGCTATTAGCCTACTCAAGTATGTCTATATGATGAATTAACAATAACTGCAACGAACGTTTCAGGCTGATTCCTGATAAAAATGCAATAAACTAACGTTTTGAGTTCAACAGCAGCCTCTATTTGCTGTCAGACACTGACACCATGTGGATGATCTCTCAACTGATCATGTTTGGGCGAAGCAGCAGGTGAATTTTCATAGACAAACTACATAAAACACAAATGTATCCAGTCTGTGCATGTCCTCAATGGTTCAGATTTGCGACATTCTTTTGATCTCGAATATATTTTTCTTATAGGCCTATTGTTTTTTTGTGGGTGAAAGTGAGTAAAGCTGTTTGTTGTTGTTGCAAATGTTTTAAAAGTTAAAATTTGGGTTGCTCTGCCTAGCACTCGTCAATGTCAAATTAACGAGATGGCCAATCAAATCAAAGAAGTGGGGTCTTGTCCACAGAAGATGTGCGAAAGAGGGCGTTGTTAAGCAGCAAATATATATATATATATATATATATATATATATATATATATATATATATATATATATATATATATATATATATATTTGACAACTGTTTTATGGTAGAAATGTTCAACGACCGACAGTAATATCCAGTGATGCAAACTCAGTCAACGTTTTATGAAAATCCGTTTTGATTTGTTCAATTTCTAACAGCCTATATGGTCTCCTTAATACAACACATATTTCAACTGTGATGATTGATTGAAATGTTGTGGTTGTTGTAATGTAGGCTATTTCTTTTTTAGAATGGACCCCAGGAAGACTAGCTGATTGCACAGACTTTCAGCTAATGGCATCCAAATAAACAAAAAAATAAACACATATAAAGTTAAATGGAAAATCTCTGATTTTTTTGTGGAAATTTTGAAGTCTCAAAGGCACTTTATGGTGATTTTGACCCTGAACATATAGGATATTGTATCATGATTCATGTAGGCTAATTCATAACTGATTGTGACGAGACAAGAATAATAAATATTTTGCGTTTTGACATCCCTTGTGAAAAAAAAGTGCACTTTAGTGTACTTTTATAAAGTGTACTT